AACATGGCAACACGGATAACCAGATGTTTGCCATTTCATACAACTACACGTCTTTGCATTTAGATCGACAAACCCATTTAAGTTATTATCCAGTACTTCAAACAAAGTGTTTGAACATGGTTCAACTCTCCATGACGTTGACTTCACAACACGTTTTGTTATCTTTTTTTCAGTCCATGGTGTAACACGATGTTCCAATGTTCCTGTAAATTTAAATAAATAATACTTAGTAAATTATATGATAAGTTACGAATTTAAAGAAATAATACATGCATGGTTTCTTTTCTTGTAGTATCATTGTTGAATAGAGGCTCGAAAAAACTCCATTAACATAGTAATGGGTAATTTTCGAGAATGACGACTTAGAGCGTTGATTGATTCTGCACTATTAGATGTCATGAAACCATATCTTGCTCCAAGTTAATGTACTCTTGACCATCTTTCAAACCCGACATCTTCTAGTGTTTGAGCACACTGAGGTAAAACACGTCTTAAACAATTTATATGCTTATTAAAATCCACTTCCCGATAAGCTTTTACAGCCTTCTAGTATGTCCATTTGTGATTTTTTATACCAGCAACCTTGATTTTATATTTCTATACAAATGAACACCATAAAGTCCATGAAAAGCATCTGGGAAACACCTTCTAACAGCGTTGTCAATTGAGTTTGCCCTATCGGATATGATTGTCAGATTGCTAATAGGACCTATGCAATCCCTAAGATGCCCCATAAACCATGTCCATGAATCAGATGTTTCAGATTTGCCAACCCCGTAACCTATTGGCAATATCCCATTATTAGCATCCATGACTACTACTAATAAGTTTACTCCAAGGTATCGACCTTTCAAATGTGCTCCATCAACTATAATAACTGGGCGCATGCAAGTAATAAAAGAACGAATCTACAAAATAATATACACAAAAAATATAATCATTTAAATGTGAAATGCATGTAACTAACAAAAATGAGTCAACAAAATTATATTGATTTACTAACCGCAGCACCAATGGAGATAAACAGCAACTCAAAGCGTCCATCTCTATCTGTTTTGATATTAGTTACCGACCTAGGATTTTTCAGCTTTAAATTGTGACAATAAGCCGGCAGTTGGGCAAACGATGCTTCTGGCGACCCCCTCAACAATTCCAAGGCATAACATTTGGCTCTCCAAGCTTGAGAATATGAGATACTAATCTTGAACCGAGCATTCATGTCAGTCATAATTTCATGTCCCCGATATACCCTGCCATTCAAAAACATTAACTCAGCCAGAAAACCACCCAACACCTTTTTGTTTGCCTGTCTATGGTGAGGAAAAACTTGGGTTCTTGAACATGTATGTTTATCAATAAAAGTCCTAACTTGAAACATTTCGCAATCTTTTATCCTCTTTGCAATCATACGCCACGTACAGTTTTTGTCAATCATACACCTTGTTTCGAAACGATCTTTTCTTGATTTGTTAACTTTTAGTTGATAGTCATCTTCCACACATTTTGTATACAAAGCTATCTTCAAGTCTTCCTTTGTATCAAAACAATCATTTTTCTTGATACGAATAATTTTTGTGTAAGAATCAACTGCTATCTTTACCAACTCTTCTTCCGGTATCTGAAGTAATTTTGGCATATTCCAGTTATACTCCCGTGGCATTTTCTTCGGGGATTTCTTCTTCTTCTTTTTCTTCTTTAGGGTTATATGAATTACAGAATGGATGTTCAATATGTTCATTCATAGTCGTAACTTCTCCTCATTATCATCAACAACATCTTCCTCGGCAGTGGCTGTTTCATCATCAAAATTCAGGTATTGACCAATATCAAAATCATTACACGCAGGGTCTGTTTGTTCTTCTGAAACATCATCAAAATCCGAGTATTGACCAAGATCAAAGTCCGGGTATTGACCAAGATCAAATTTTGAATACCGACTAGTACTCACAATTTTTTCTGTTGGCTCATCATCGTCTAACTGGTTAATACGAAAATCAAAATTTGGTGCTGAAAGTTGATTGGGATTTGGATTAGGGAAAGGTTGTGGGTTTTGAGATTGTGTTTGGTATTGGAAATGTGGTGAAACAAAATTTGCTTGGTGATGAAATTGTGGTAGAACCATTAAATTTTAAGCACCATAAACTGGGGTTGAAAAACTTAGTTGATTACTACCCGCTACTGACTCAACTTCACTACTTCTAGGTTCAACAACATACAATGTAACATCATCTTGCGAAACACTAATGTAAGCAATGAATCGTTCAACATCTTCATTGTCGGTTAACAAATAAACTTTACCTTTTCTCTGATAAGATAGCCTAAATCCACTTAAGGGCTCTAAATTCAATTTATTTGCAACACGTAACATTAGAGTTTCATAAGTTAACTTTTTTAATGACAGTTTTAGTTGAAGATTCATGGGTAAAGGCATATATTGTAAAACACCATGAACATTCTCCCATGACCCTCCAAAACACAAATCTATCCAAACATGATCAACATTAGATGATTTCATTATTGTAAATTAATTTACTAAACAAACGAGCTGCGAAACTAAAACCTGTTGCCGGATGGGGAAGGATGTCGTTGGATATAGGAACGGATGTCGCCGGAGAGAGTGATAGATGGAGATGGAATGAGTTGCGATTTAGGGATTTAGGTTATGAGTTGATGCTGTTGCGTAGTAGTTATATACTCATTTGTGTTGCGAAACTAAAACCTGTTGCGAATTTGAAATTCAGTGATGCGTTAGTCAGAATCGCGTTGCGATAGTCAGAATCGCGTTGCGATCACGTATTATCGCGTTGCGATAGTCAGAATATCGTTGCGATAGTCAGAATCACGTTGCGATCACGTATTATCGCGTTGCGATAGTCAGAATCACATTGCGATCACGTGTTATCGCGTTGCGATTTACATATTCGCATTGTGATTTACATATTCGCATTGCGATTATCTAAAATCGCAACGCGGATTTCGAAAATCACAATGCGATGGTCAAAATCGAGTTGCGAATTTGGAAACTGAATTGCGATAATGGAGATCGCGTTGCGATTTAGAGATCGCATTGCGATTTTGTTGGTCATTTTGACAAATCGTAAAAAAGTTGATTAAAATCGTATATTATAAGGAATTTTCGGTCACTGAGGTTATTTTCTCTAATCAAAATTAAAGAGGGTTCGTGTATTCGAATTCAATGCTTATTCTCAACCTTTTGTCGTCGTCCATGGAGTCGTCTTCATCATCGACTAACTTGAATTTTCCGTCTTATTGGAATTATCTCAATTTTTCCTATTTCGTCCGGTTCTCGCTGTGCTTTTCGTTTTCTCCTTCATTATTCTCTGTAATTTTATTTTTCTCTCAAAAACTTTCGCGACTCTTTCTTGTCGTGATTTAAGGGTTCCGTTGGTTCTGGTTCACGTCCCATTGCTTAAACCAAAGCCTCCGATTTATAACAGCATCAACGCTCATAATTCCACTTCTCAAAAGGTATTTTATTTATTTTTAATTTGTTGCAGCATGTTGTGTTAGCATGAAAGAGAGATTGAAATGTTTAGTTTTGGATTGATTATCTGATCGTTAATTAAGCATTAAGGGAAGCAAAAAATTGATTAGAGGATGCCAATTAAGGTGAAGTTAATGTGATGAATTGCACCATCGCATGAGGGCTCGTCGAGCAAGTAGAATCATTTACAAGATTTATAGCCTCAAGACAATCCGATTGAATCAAGAGCAGCTCAAAACCATAGTTCCAAACGAATTCCAAGCCAAGGAAGATCGCCCATAATTCAGCTTGGAGGGGGGTTGTAATCCCAACCGATTTATGAAATCCAACGAATCCAGTTACCTTCACAGTCTCGAATGACTCCACCAACCGAACCAATCTGAGTGGCGCTGGGAACGGAACCGTCAACATTTAGGAAGAACCAGCCTGCTGGGGGTTTTTGCCATTGAACCAAGGTTTCCTGTCGATCACACCTCGGAGTTGGGCTCGATAGGCCGCCATAGAAAAAAGTAGCCCATGCAATACTTTTAGGATCAAATGGTGGGGACGCCAATAGTCCTTGAAGACGATATCGTTCCGTTGCTCCCAAATTTGCCAAGCAAGAGAGGAGAAAAGGATACCCCAAGGAACACCGAAGCCTGGAACAATGTTGGTGTCTGCTACATTTTGGATTAGCCACTGCTCAACATTAATCGAGAAAAAAGTAGTCGCGTGATGATGAGGAACCACGTTATTCCAAAGGGAGCGAGCATGAGGAAGCACATGGATCACGGATTCGACAGGAGCAGTGCAAATCTTGCAAGATGGATCATTATTGATATGAGAGAACCCATCAATTATATTAATTTTTTGTTGTTGGCTTATGAGTGCAAAATTGCTTGTGCTTTGTATATATATGCATGCCAGAAAATTTTCAAACTTACAATTAATCACTGTGAAATTGGATTATTATAACTTCGGAATGATTAGATATGTAAACAAATCAATCTACAAACCAAGTTCACGTTGAAAGAGGAATCATTTCTTATTTGAACTCGATTTTTAAATTTAAAGTTTGAAACTTAACTATTACTTAAGTTTCATTTTTAAAACTCCAAACGTGCAAACTTGTTATTACAAAGTTATTGTGATTCACTTGCTCAACTTTAAACTTGATTGTTTATGATTAATTTCAAATTCAGATTTTCCAAATCTAAATAAAAGAAATAAATCCAAGTTTGCTATTGCCACATTTCTGTTGTGCAGACTGAAGGTGATTTGGGGTCTAAACAAACATGTCTTGAACGGAAAACTGAAATACCATAAGCCTACCCGAAGCAACGGTCGATGCTTATTATGTCTGTTGAGAAGATCAATGCAGCCAATGCTTCACTCGCCATATACTAGGAACTAGTTGCCAAAAACACACTGATATATAACTCGAACATCTGCTAAATGAAAACGAAAAGATAATCATGGAAAATGGACGTGCAAGATGAACCACACTAAAAATGGAACCATTGATTTGATTTTTTTTCTTTCCGTAAAATTGACCATGAGCACCAACAAGCTATTTCCTGCGAAATCGAACCCTCTTGAAAGAAAGGAAAGGACGAAATATCCTACTAAACAAATCTTGGAAAGAATTAACAGAACCCTACCCCTTCCATGCCAAACGTATCAACTTTCTTTCCAACATAAAGCATCAAAAGAGAGAAAATATGAGAGATAAAAAGGGGGGAGGAGAACCCTAATCATCTGCCATTAATATTTTGAAACTTCCTTGAATTTCAATATGCAAGGACAGAAGAAATCAAGCTTCAGATCTGGAGTCAGATGAGATTGATTCAGAAAAAACTCCGTTCGACTTGGTTGCAAAACATTCAGCCAGCTTTGGCAGCGTGCCATTGCACAGTTTCATAGACGGCCTCAGTTTCATGTACTGCAAAAACAAAATTAATAGACAAAATAAGCAAATGACAGGAAAAATTTCATAACTTATGATTTTATATCTTTGTAACATCCCCTGCCTTAAAATGACGAGAAAGATACTGACTAGCCATTGAATCATATTGCAGATAAAAAGCATTACAAATAACAAACCATCATAAACTATCCAGTGGCTAGAAAGAAAAACATATTGCGTTATGTTTGCCATCCAATAGATAGATCATTACGAGCACCAAATATTTTTTTTTGGTATATATGCTTCAAGGTTCACTAGGAACATTAATACTAGGAAACAAATCAGAGTAACTTCCATTTAAAAAATTATCGAATAAAATCGTTATACAAGGGAAGGTACAACAAAAATGAAGAAAGATGTATAATACCTCCTGGTAAAAAGCATTGATCTCCTCCTCTGTAAGACCTTCATCCTCGGCAGAATTTTCTTCCCAGCCAAGAGATCGAAGGAAAGCAGCCTCTTCTTCATCTGGATAAACCATAAAATCCTTTTCGTCATCATTAGAAAATCTTGGAGGCTCTTGACAGACATCACCATTGCTAGTTGATGTAATAGCATGCTCATTAGCATGAGCTGTCACAGAAGCACCAACTACTTCCTTTGTAACTTCAGATTTCTCGGTGGGAGAAGATGAAATATGAGGGTCTGAAACTGAGAGACCAGCAGAAGTGTTTGACGAGGTCTTCTTCTTCAGGAGATTAAAAAAATCATTTCGGCTCTTGGTTTGAGCCAAAGAAGGCCTCTTTTCCACAGTGAACCCAGCTATTGGATTCAAGGCAGCTGCCTTGAGCTCCCCAGTAGAAAGTTTCGAGTTGTTTGAGTTTCTGGCAGAATCCAATGAAACATGAGCAATGACATGTTGGCTAGTAATAACTCTGCTGTTTGCAATTGTTGCTGGGCTGGCAGTATCTTTTTGAGCAGATGATGAGACCCCATTCTCCCATCCTGGTTTGAGAACCAAAAGCTTACCAGATGCCTTTGGCATATCAGACTTGACGTGTCCACTATGAGATTGATTACCATTATGAATAAAAGAAGGATGCTGCAGCCCACTCTTCAAAGCAATATTCACCTCACTTGTTCTCAATGCTGGTTTGGCTTTTGATTTATCCACTGAATTGAGAACCTGATCAGAAATTAGGTAATTATTACCTTACACTTTTAAATGTCTATTACCTGGAATTTTTAACTATTAATAAGATGTTATTTTATCCATGCAGTGGCTAGGTAATGAAAAAAAAATAGAGCACTTCAAGAACACTTCATGAGCTGACAGCATACTAGCTTACTTCAGTTAATCTTAACATTTAAAATTTCAGTGAAAATATACAAAATCAGCACAAGTCTATATCAGAAAAATCAGATGATAAAGAGAAATCCTTATGGACTTCCAACCAAAATCCAGCATAAAGAAAACCAGTTTTGGAAAAGACACGGGTTGCATAGGTGATGGATGAATAGGTAGTCAAGCATACCTTTTTTTTTCTCTTTAAATTCTAATAGTGACTAGGCTCCTTGGAAAGTTACACTGAAAAGAGTTATAGAGAATTGACCGTATTTAATTGATGATACTAATTAAACAAATTGTATCAGACTTAATTATGTTCTCTTCAAAATCTAATTCTTTTTCTTCCATTGTGATTGGAGAAAATGATCAAGACCAACAATCTCAGCGTACTCTTGAAACACAAATAATGTAAATCCATATCAACTCTAAATAAAAATTTGCTGCAACTTAAGGCAGCATCATATATCTGGCAACATATTCTCATGCAACTGTTGTTTTAAGAACATTCAGAGAATTATGGAACTTCTGTCAAATCAACTAATAATCTGAATCAGATAAAACAATAATATATCTGGATAGTATACTGTACACTTCAAAGAAAAAAGTGGTAAGTTGAAAACTACAAAAAAAACATAAGAGATGAATGGCCGAGAATAAAAAAATGCAAAGGGGAGGGAAGGAAGGAACAAGCAAGGGAGAAGGGGGTATGATGGACATGAAAAGGAAGTGCCATTTTTTCCAATATTCTCATCAACATTATATAGTCCATTGAATTTTGGTTTGTTTTAACCAGTGGAAAGAACAATAACCGATAGGGAAAAAGAGCAGCAGGTTGCAATAAATGAGATTATGTGATTCTGATGTAGGAGGACAGGGGATCAAGACAACTTTGCAGGCTACAATTTAGAGTAAAATGTCTTTCAAGTCACAAAGTAGTGAAGGATTTGGAAGAAGGTTTGAATTAATATTCAGTTTGATAAGAAAACTACAGATCTACAGACATGTTTGGGTGCAACTAACAGCAGTCAATGGCATAAATAATTCCAATGATTTAAGTGCAAACATGAGGGATTGCTGATGATAAGGGTTACAAGAATGTATAAACAGAACTATCAAACGTAAGTTAATATTCAGGTTTAAAAGCAGCTAAAATCTAAAGACCAAAAAAAATCTAGCTTGACACATTCAGGTCTTCTATGGCTGCAGAATGACATTAAATGTAGAACATAAATTCAGGTTCTCATAAATTTAATGTTTCTATTGGTGTATCGAACTCATAGAGGAAGACTAGCATTCAAGTTCCAAGAGAAATAAAAACTAGGAAACAATAACAAAATCGTGTATTTAAAGGATAAAAATCCGAAAGAAACAAGGCATAAGCGATTGCAAATAAGAAACAACAAAAAATGGTCATCATAAAGCATCCCAAACAAAAAATAGTATATTATTTTAACCAAGCCATTGTAAATGTGAATTAATATGATCAACAAAAAGAACAAACATCTTTTTTGTTTGATCAAAATTTTGGTGATACTGGATATAGTCCAGCACAGAAGAATCAACATATAGCTTTCACGTAACATATAAAACCTAAATGCAGATAGACAGGTATTAGATATAAAGAAATATGCGGTATACAATGTCTAATTGATATAAATTATGTAAAAGGCAGAAGGAATAGGGAAGGGAACCAATATTGTTTAATAGGAGTAAAACTACAAATCAAATAGGGCAAGCAAACTATATTTTTCTGAAATCGAAGGCAAGCTTACCGAACCCTTAGGCATTGAAGGTGTCACTGGTATTAGTTGCCTTGATTGCTTAATGGCCAGCTCCTTACGCCTTTGAGTATTGATGGATAGCTGTACCAAATACAATAGTCTAGTTAATCACAGATATAAGTTTTAACTTATACATGCCATAAGAACTGTCTGAGCCAGTTACCTGGGGAGCAGTACATGCTCGTGAAGGAGCTTGAACTAGAGCCACTGCCATATTAAGACCAGATGTGACACTTGGAGCCCCAGAAACTGAGGTGGAAACAGTTAGGGGGGCAGACAAGGAACCTGTGCTACTACTTCCAACCACACTAGGTGATTCTGCCAGAGCTGAGGTCCATCCTTCCCCGTCAATCAAAGTTGAATTGCCAACAGATAAACACTGAGAAACTGAGCTCAAACCAGGAGATGGAACTCTAGCTGCCTCAGGCACCGACTGCCTCTCTTCAGTTCCAAGTGACAGAAAATCTTTCTGAAGGGCAGCCTTGTGGATGCTACTCCCAATAGCATCCCCAGAAACCAGACCATGGTCATTGTTATTGCTACTATTGCTACTGTCTCTTGAGTCCACTGCAGTCCTTTGAGGTAAAGGCTCGGCGTGTTTCCTAGAGACCATAGAATTAGACCGCCGAAATGTATTTATTTCCACCCTAGATGTCGAAAAACCTCCTAATTTCTCAACCCTACTGGTAAAAATACTTTCTAAAGGGTCTGAAGAATTGAAGTCCCAACGATCACCAAAGCTTAGCCTCTCCTTTTCCCTTTCTCGACCCTTATCTCAATGACTCCTACTAAAGCTACCATAAGCATGCCTTGAAGAACCATTACTAGAACTCCTCCCTGAATTCAACGAAGATGCCTGATCTAAAAATGCTAAACAAGGGGAATCAAAATCACTAATACTCCTATAGTTTCTACTTCTCCCATGATGCAAAGGTGAAGAAACATCTAACATAACAACAAGAATGCAGTCATTATATGTTTCCAAAAACAAATACAAAAGTTAATACAGTGACAACTACTCAGTATCAATGCAATGAAAAAGAGACAGGGCATCATATTACTAAATTGTTGTTGCAGTCAACGTGTCATAACGTCGACATGATTTACTTCTTAAAAATAGCAATGATTTTATATTGCGGATGCTGTATCGGTGACCTTGAAAAAGGTTAAGATGCGGCCGCCACACTGCGTTAATTTAATACTATGCAGGGCATAAAAATGGAAATAAACAGTATATAGAAGATACATGTTCAAAAGTATCATTGTAGTAAAGTATAAATGGAAGGATTAACGCAATGTGTTTACAAGGGTACCTAAATGAGAAGAAGAGGAAGCAAATAGGTGGGCTGAATTGCCACCCCCACTAACAGTGCCAGCACTTCTCAACCATTCTGGAACTAATTCTGGTTCACTTTTTTTCATAATGGACACTGAACATGACCGACTGGGGGGCAACCCTTCTTCAACCTTCGCCGAACTTTAACCACCAAATTAGTTTTTATTCATAGACAAATGAACTCTTGACCCTGCCCCCAGTCACTTAACTAAACCAAGGCTTTAATGGGTTATTCAGCAAATTGAGAAGCAGGAATTGTTTGATCAAAGGGAACAGAATCTTAACACAAGTGTGAATCCATTGCAACGAAAACAAAAGCAATGGAAATAATGAGGTTGTATTTTAATCAAATCTCTTCTTAGATCCACCATCTTTGAATAAAAGATGGACTCGAAGATTGCTGTTTTTCCGGTCTCAAATGACCCTCATATTTCCCAATAGGCGACAAAAAAAGAAAAGAAAAAAATAATTAAACACTCATAAACCAGTTAAATAACAGTTAACTTTGAGTAAGATTAAGAACCCTAGATTAAATTTCAATTATAGGTTTCCAAAAGGACACGGAAGAAAATTTCCCCAAGTTCTCTAGACAAAATGATAAGATGGCTGATTAAAGAAAAGGGAGAGTCCTAACTGCCAACACTAGCCCTGCTACGATTCTGGCGATTGCCTAATTTAAGTAACCGTTTTTTAAAGAACCGTCACCCCAATCCAGATAATGCGTTAATTTTTCCGGGAAGATATGTAAAATAATGAGAAATAAAATGAGAGAGTTTCAGTAGGACTGAAAGTGAAGCAAGCGAGCGAGCGAAGAAATTGACAATGGATTAGCAAAAATGCCAGATTTTTTTTCTTTTATGGAATGGCCCAAAAAAATTAGGGTTTTGTTTCTTCAGTTTGTTTCATAGATGGTAGCGTAAATTTTCTCTGTTTGTTTTCGGTTGTTCTGATAAAAAAAGACCCAATATATTAATATCTCATTTTAATACTATTGATTATAATTATTTCTTTTACTATATTCGGATAGTTAAAAAGTTTGAATAATAAAAGTAGTTTAGAAAAAAAATTAATTTTTTTTATTAGTGTGTTGTTTATCTCTTTTCTTTTTATTTTTATTGATCGACGGTTATATCAATTTTAATGTTATTTATCGATTATTAATATTATTTTTTTTATTCTCTATATGATATCTTTATTTTTTTGTTTTTTTTATTTTTAATAAGTCTACATGTGTTACACGTTTTCAGATGCCTTTATGATACATTTTATAATGATTTTTGGCATATTTTTTGATTTTTTAACCGTTTTTTCATTTATATTTTTTTAAGTGTTGATTTGATATCAATACGACAGATCAAGATGGTGTTTATCTGATATATTGTTGATATTTCTTGCTTTTGACCCTCATATTAGATTTGGATATCCGATTTGCGTTCGTAGATAGCTTATTACGTCGCTTGAGTCTGATTTACAGTTTTTCAGCGGCATTTCAATAGATTGATCCTCTTTTGTGGTTCGTTTGCCGATGCAATCAGATTTATTTGTATCTATCTTTGATCGAGTTTCTTGGTTTTATTTAATCTTTCCTTGTATGGTCCTTATGAATTATGTGTTTAATTTACGAATGTGATTGTAAAATTTTATTATAATTTGAGATATTTCTTATATTGAATAAAATTAGTTACTTATGTCAAAAAAAATCTTGAGTCTACGAATGTTTATTGTTAAATGACTGAGAACTTTTTAAAAAAATATTATTTTATAATCATACTATAATTGAAAAAAAAACCCTTTTATATTAAACTTGTAAAAAATATCAAATAAATATTAAACTTTCAATTTTATTATAAAATAGACCCTATATTATTATTTAATTAATTGAAATATTGAAACATATTAACTTAATAAATAATATATAATTTAATCTTTTAATTATAATTAATTAATATTTTGAATAATAACTTTTTAAAAAATTTATAATTTTTTAAAAAAATATAAAGATATTTTTAAAATTATATTATTATAATTTTAAAAATATAAAATATTTAATTTATTTTTAAAAATATAAAATTCATAATTTTTTTAAATTATTGTACGTTCACATTTAATAAAAAAGAATAATGTGATTTCTAAAGAAGGTTTAAAATTAATAAATTTGCTCATGTAGAGCAATGGGAAAAAAAGATTTTTTTTGTATAAAAGACCCATAATATTATTTTTTTGATATAGAGTCATTGTTACAGTGTCAAAAAGAGGATGTCGAGAACATTATACGACTTTAATTTTTTCGGGAAAAATGCATGAACTATAGTACGTCTTCTTTATCACCGACTAAATTTTTTATGCATTTTTATGGTTATTGTTTGGAAAAGTCGAAGACGCACCACCGAAAAATTGAAGTTGCATGGTACTATCGGTGTCATCCCTTTAACATTGTAGCAATAACTTTAAATAAAAAATTAATAATACGATAAAAGCCTTATATGGAAAATTCCCATTTTCCCGCTTCTCTACAGGAGCAAAATTCCATGTTCAAATTATGACAAACAAAGCAAAGGAAGTGAAAGGCTTTTTGATGAAACCAAAACAGGGATTAAAGGACTTGTCGACTCAAATGCCGTGAATATTTTGGATTTTTTAATTCAATTCATCAGCAACATGAGTTTTCTTTTAAGTTGTTGTACCCTTGTAAAATCTATTTGGTAAAATTAATATTTTTCTAAAATTTATTTCAATAGAAGTTTTGAAAGAATATCTCCTAAAATAAAGTTTCATACATCTAACACATCGAAAGTTATAATATCTAAATGATATTTGATAGATTCATGAAATATACCAAAATAAATATACTCTCAATTGATAATATATTTTAGGTTTACTAATTTAAGAGTAGTCATAATGATTCAATCTCTAACATCGGTTAAGACTGAAATAAAGGATGAAACTATGTCCTCGATTACGTCTCTTCTTCTTCTCTTAGAGATGGAAGATTTTAATATCAGCCACTGACCATATAACCAACAGCTACAATTCTTCAATCAAATTAAAAAGAATAAACAATTAATGATGGATTCATTTATTTCCCATCAACGCAATTGATTAAACCATGGAACTCCTGTTTGCATTATGGACAGCATGGTAGAAGGCGTAAGTGGGTTCCATGTAGAGGTGGGTATACGGCCCGTTTAGCCCGCGAGTTTTGACGGTGTGAGTTTAAACGGAGTGGACTAAAAAGCCCGCATTCATAAATATTTTGATTTTTAAGATCCGCAGCCTGTCCATTTAACCCGCGGGCTAAACGGGCTTACTTGCGGTCCGTTAAATAAAAATAATTTTAAATACTTTAAATGTAATAAAAATAATATTTTAATTTAATACACCGTTAATTAATATATATATATATATAATGATATAATTATTTAAACTCAAATTAAAAAAACAATATTACTTATATCACCAAATTGAAAAACAAATATGACAATAACCACATTATACTTTTATAAAACGCGATTATTCAAGGCTATAATATAAAGACACAAAAGTGTCTTAAAGCATAAATTCAAACATAAAAATTCAACAAAGTTAAACATTATATAAATCTAACTAGAAAGTTGTCAAGTGGTCCTAATAATTATATTTTATGGATACTTTAGAGAAAGACTAAAACATAATATGAAAATATAAAATAAAATACTTATAGTATAAGAGTAAATTTAAAAGATATAGTTATACTAAAATTGATAAAATATAAGTCATTAATTTGTTAAAATATGTTTATTTTGTAAAAGTCTTTAAAAGTTAAAAAAAGATGTTCTTAATTTTTTCTTTTACTTTTCTTTCTTATTTTTAATCAAAATATTACGTGTCATGTGATATATTATTAGAATATCAAGTGACTTTTAGTTTATTTTCTCTAAAATTTTATGAATTTTAAATTAAGTAGACTTTAGTGGATTTCGCAGATAGCCTACGATTATACCCATTAAACCCGCGGGTTTAACGGTCCGGGCTAAAAAGCCTATAATTTAAATGATCTTCAATTTTTGAAATTTGAAACTCGCATGGATCACGAGTTAAACGGGTAGCCCACGAACCTTAGCCCATATACCCAGCTCTAGTTCCATGAACAACAGGAGGATGAGAAGATGCAATGGTAGGTGCAGCCATGGCCAGGGACTATAAGCAGACAGGTATTCCTGCAGTAGAGATATGCTGCAAAATTATTTAGTTTAGAAATAAAAATTTAAAGTGCAAATGTCGGAATAATGGGTCCCATCAGAAGTCAAACAAAATTTATATTTACCACGTGGCAGCGCGTATAATCTCTTTATCTTTCTTCCTCACTCGCGACGACGTTTATTAGCATTGTTTTGAAAATTGAATCGGGGTTTAAACGGTTCAATCAAGAATCGTTGTCTAATCCGGTT